CACAGTGGCAGGGGACGGTGTGGAGATAGGGCAGCTGCAGGCAGGAGGGGAGGGGGCCAAGCAGGACGGGGCCGTGGGGCAATTGACAGCCCCTGGACAGGGTCCATACCAAGCTGCATCCCCTTAGCCCTCACTGATGCAGTACTACTTGTTCACTGCCCTTGCGGGTGCTTTCCCTTTAAGGGTGGAGTTTCTCTCTGCCAACATGGTTTCTCATGGATACTTGCTCTTTAAGAGCAGTGTTTTACTGTCAGACTCCCACTCATGGACACTTTCCCTTTAAGAGCAGGTCCTCATGGACACTTCCCCTTTAATTTGCTCTTAAAGGAAAGTTTCTCGCTGCCAAACATTTCTCACTGCCAGACTTTGGTCCTCCTGGACACTACCCCTTTAATTTGCTCTTAAAGAGGAATTTTTCATTGCCAAACATTTCTCTCTGCCAGATTCTGGTCCTCATAGGTGCTTCCCCTTTAATTTGCTCTTAAAGGGGAATTTCTTACTGCCAAACACTGCTGCCTTGCGTTCTTATGCCCCTCCTGTGTCATGGGACACGCCCTTCACAGGTGCAGTTTATCCCTGCCAGACTCCATCCAGCATGGAGACTTGTCCTTTAAGGGTGGAATTTCTCACTGCCAGACTCTGATCCTCAGGGAAACATCCCCTTTAAGGATACTGTTTCTCACTGCCAGAGTCCAAATTTCAGGGTCATTTTCCCTTCAAAGGGCATTTAAAGGGGAATGTCTTCGTGCTGGACTCCCATTCCCATGCTGTATTAATGGGAGCAAACTGCTGCCTCCTTGTGGTGAAATGTGGGCATTGCGATTCCAGGTCATAGGCTAGAAAGACATAGGAACTGCCCTGCTCCCAGACGGGCCCCATGGCCCCGCCGGGTGGGGCCCAGGGCACACACCGCTGTCCCTTGCCCCATGGACTCATACGGTTACCAACTGTAGGTGCTCGGAATACAGAGCAGCACCAGATCTTCCCAATAACCGCCTCTTATCCCACAGGCAGTGCAGAAGACAGGCCAGGCCAGCTCCTCACCTGATGTAATACAAAGGTTGTTATATGGGTAGCACTACCTAGTCGATGTTCCTGGGGTCTATCCCCGGCTCTGGGAGGGCAGTGGTGTCTAGTGGTTAGAGCAGGGGGGCTGGGAGCCAGGATTCTTGGGTTCTATCCCTGACTCTGCCACTGATCTGCCATGAGTCCTTAGGTAAGAAACTTCCTCTCTCTGTGCCTCAGTTTCTCCTCCCATCCCTTGTCTATTTAGTTTGTAAATAAGGCAGGGGTTGGCTGTCATTCTGAGTCTGAGCAGCACCCGACACAAAGGAGGGCCCCCAATCTCGGCCGGGGTCTGTGCAGCACCTGACACAATCTGGGCCCCGATCTCATCCGGGCTCTGTGCAGCACCTGACACAATCTGGGCTTCGATCTCGGTCGGGGTCTGTGCAGCACCTGGCACAATCTGGGCCCCGATCTCGGCCGGGGTCTGTGCAGCACCTGACACAATCTGGGCCCCGATCTCGGCCGGGGTCTGTGCAGCACCTGGCACACCAGGGAGGCCTGATCTGACTCAGGTTTATGCTGATAGTACTAAAAATATCATCCTTTGAATTCATGGCCTGATACCATCTTGTCTCTGAACCGCAAGGCAACAAGATCTTTGCTCAAAAAACACCCGCATGAGGCGATGGGTTGAGGGTTACATACCATCAAACTCATTCTTTGGTCGGTAGATCTGTAGATAAATCGATCGTTGATGTAACAGCCCATGACTATGTTACATGGAACTAGTTGCAATAAACCACTTCATAGGTGTGGAAAATTCATTTGACACCCAGAGTTCCTGTTCAACTTCAGGAAGTCATGAAAAGCTTTCAAACGTTTATTAGTTGGGTTGGGTCAATGAAAGGTAGATTCGATCCCTGCCTCTGGGAGAGGAGTGGGGGTCTAGTGGGTTGGGGGGGAGGGCTGGAAGCCAGGACTTCTGGGTTCTATTGTGGCTTGGGGAGTGGGGTCTAGTGGTTAGAGCGGGGAAGGGGGCCTGGGAACCAGGACTCCTGGGTTCTATCCCGGCTCGCTTGGGGAGTTGGGTCTAGAGGTTGGGGGTGGGGGAGGCTGGGAGTCAGGACTCCGGGGTGCCAATCTGCTTTTGAGGCATCACAAACTTGAATGCAGCGGCTGGATTCGGTGACCTCTCAAGGTCCCTCCCCACCCCACATTTCTACTGTTCTAGAAATGTGCAGGGCTGGGCCCTCCTCAGCCCACACGAGCAAACAAGGTGAAGTAGGTCAGTGAGTGCTATGGGAAGTGACAGAGCTGATGCATCTGAAGAAGTGGGTTTTTTACCCACAAAAGCTTATGCCCCAAAAAATCTGTTAGTCTTTAAGGTGCCTTGGGACTCCTCGTTGAGCTGATTCAGAGCTCGCAGTCAGTGTTAACCCCAGTGCGTCGGTAGGGGGCGCTGTGCTGCAGGGAGCAGGGTTGGGGGCTCACTAGGGGGGCGCTCTCCCCTGGCCGTCAGTGCTGGCCCCAATGCACCAGTGTGGCAGTAGAGCCACTGTGCTGCAGGGAGTGAGGAGGGGTGGGGCTCATTAGGGGGCGCTCTCCCCCACAATCAGTGCGGCACTAGGGGGGTGCTGTGCTGTGGGGAAGGGGCTCAATAGGGGGTGCTGTGCTGCAGGGAGTGGGGGCTCAGTAGGGGGCGCTCTCCCCTGGCAGTCAGTGCTGACCCCTGTGCGGCACTAGGGGGCGCTGTGCTGCGAGGAAGGGGCTCAGTAGGGGGCGCTGTGCTGCAGGGAGGGGGCTCTCCCCCCACAGTCATTGCAGGGTGTGTGACTCAACAAAAGGTGTGATCATCATGTGGGAACCTGTTCTCCAGCATCAGGGCTGGGGTCACTTCACTCCCCGATCCAGGCCAGGGCTCCGGGGAGGTGGGGGGGGAAGGGGGATAGAGGTTTCCAGCTTCCCTTTCGCCTCCCTCCCAATGGGCTCCACTCTGGGGAAATGGGGAGGGGAAGCAGAGCCGGACGCCTGGGTCCCAAGAAGCCTGGTCCCTTCTCCCCTCCCCCTAGGGTGACCCGACGTCCTGCTAGTAGGGGGCTTTGTCTTCTACAAGCAACTACCCCCTCCCAACCCCGAAAACAAAGTGTCCCCATTTCTCCCACTTGCTTTTAGGTCACCTCCCCCGAGACACCCAGCGGGGCGGATCTGCCTGTGGGTTACCCAACGCTGCTGAAGCTTCCGCTGGATGCTTGTACCCGCTGACTCAGCCCCCTCGGAGCAGCCAGACAGCTGGGGTGGCTCTGAGAGACGCCCGACAGCTGACGCGGCTGGAGGAAGCTTGGACTAGAGCAAGAACGTCCTAAGGATTAACCGTAAGCATCCGTTCATGCCAAGCTGGGGGGGGCAGGGCTGGGCCAGCAGGGGGCTGTGGTTCGGGAGTGAGGGGCACCGGCAGAGCTGGGGGGCAGGGCTGGGCTAGTGGTGGCTGTGGTTCGGGAGTGAGGGGCACTGGCAGAGCTGGGGGGAAGCCCAGGGCCGGGCTAGCAGGGTGCTGTGGGTCAGGAGTGAGGGGCACCTGCCAGAGCTGGGGAGGGGAGCACAGGGCTGGGCTAGCAGGGGGCTGTGGTTCGGGAGTGAGGGGCACTGGCAGGATGGGGGCGGCAGGGCTAGCAAGGGCTGCGGGTCGGGAGTGAGGGGCACCTGCCAGAGCTGGGGAGGGGAGCCCAGGGCTGGGCTAGCAGGAGGCTGCAGGTTGGGAGTGAGGGGCACTGGCAGAGCTGGGGGGAGCCCAGGACTGGGCCAGCAGGGGCTGCGGGTCGGCGGCAGAGCTGGGGGGTGTATATGGGGGAACCACATCATCTAAGTCAGTGGGGGTGGAGGTCAACTGGGTCACTGGGTCCTGTGGTGCTGCCAAACTGCTGCCAGCCCCATTGCCCTCCAGTCCCTTGTCGGCTCTTTCACTGGGAGGTGTCTCCCTCTCCCTCCTTCCCGCAATCTCCCCCCCCCACCTTTGCTGTGAAATGACGGGTGGAATTAGTGCCGAACGGTGCAAGCGCAGGGAGGAAGTTGCCCCATCAGCAACCCACATTGTCCTCAGGAAACCATACACCTCTTCCCGCCTTGAGAGCCACCCCTCCATCCTCCCGCCAAGGGGAACTCAGGGCGAGTAGATAGATAGATAGAGGGGGTGGATGTATATGGGGATAAATAGATGAGTGGGGGTGGATGGAGGTGGATAGATGTACACGAGGATGGACAGACAACGGGGTGGGGTGGATGGAGGAGTGGATGTGGAGATAGACGGGGGTATGTGGGGATGGATATGTATGGAGTAGATGGCGGTGTGGATGGATGTGCATAGGGATGGATAGACAGAGGAGTGAGGGAATGGAGGGGTGTATAGGTGGGCGATGGAGGGGTGTGAATGGGGATGGATAGACAGAGGCATGGGGGGGATGGAGGGGTATAGGTGGGGAATGGAGGAATGTGAATAGGGATGGATAGACAGAAAAATTGGGGGGGAAGGAGGGGTGTGAATAGGGATGGATAAACAGAGGAGTGGGGGGATGGAGGGGTGTAGTTGGGGGATGGAGACTGTGAATGGGGATGAATAGACAGAAGAATGAGGAGGTTGAGGGGTGTATAGGGGGATGGAGGGGTGTGAATGGGGATGGATAGACAGAGGAGTTGGGGGGGTGGAGGGGTGTAGGTGGGGGATGGAGGGGTGTGAATGGGGATGGATAGATAGAGGAGTGGGGGGATGGAGGGGTGTAGGTGGGGGATGGAGGGGTGTGGATGGATAGACAGAGGAGTGGGGGATAGAGCGGTGTATGTGGGGGGGGATGGAGGGGGTGCATATGGGAATGGGTAGAGCGGTGGGGGGGAGGCAGGACTGTATTTTGGATTATGGAAACTGAGGCAGGAGAAGCCACTATAAAGTCCTTACTGTAGTTCTCACTAAACTTCCTGTCCTCCAGGCCCTTCTCGCGCCCTGATGACCAACGCCACCTTCAACACCACCGCCCAGCCAGGCGCGCTGCCCCCGTTGCCTGGCGCCAAGCTGGGGCTGACCGTGCTCTCCTTGGCCTTCATCCTGGGCTTCCCCGGCAACATCTTCGTGGTGTGGAGCGCTCTCTGGCGTGTCCAGAAGCGTACGATCACCTGCCTCCTCATCCTCCACCTGGCCTTGGCCGACTGCGCCGTGCTGCTCACTTCCCCTTTCTTCCTTCGGCTCCTGAGCGCCGGGAAGTGGGAGTTCGGCTCCGTGGTCTGCCAGCTGTGCCACTATGTCTGCGGCGTCAGCATGTACGCCAGCATCTCCCTCATCACTCTCATGAGCCTGGACCGCTGCTTAGCTGTCACTAAGCCCTTCATCTCCCAGAAGATCCGGACTGCCATGGTGGTCAGGTCCTTGGTCTTGGCCATCTGGATGGTCTCTTTCCTCCTTGCCGTGCCGGTCATTTTCTACCGCAAGCTGGTGCTTAGGGGCAGGCACCTTCTCTGTGACCTGTCCCATCCCACCATTGGCCACCTCGTCTTCCACAACCTTTTTGAGACCCTGACCGGCTTTGTGCTGCCCTTCGCTGCCATCATCTGGAGCTACTGTGTCATCGGGCGCAGGCTGCAGGAGACCCGCTTCCGGAGGAAGCGCCGCACCAACCGGCTCATTGTGCTGATTGTGGCCGCCTTCGCCCTCTTCTGGCTACCCTTCCACGTGGTGAACATCCTAGACGTGGTTGGGGCGCTGAGCCACTCCAAGGGACTCATCGTGGCTGGGAAGATGGCCCGGCCCACCCTGACGGCCCTGGCTTTCTTCAGCAGCAGCGTCAACCCCATCCTCTATGCCTTCACCGGTGGTGCCTTGATCAAGTCGGCTGGCATAGGCTTCATGGCCAAGCTCTTTGAGGGGACGGCCTCAGAGATGTCCAGCACGCGGATTGGGACGGGGCGGACCATCCAGCGGCGCGAGGAGGCCAAGTTGGAGATGGTGCAGGATGGGAACCCAGAGAGCATCACCCTTTCCACCAACCCGCTGGAGTAGCCCTCGGCCATGTGGGACAGGCACTCCGACAATCCCACTGCATCCACCAACACCCTGGACTAGCACTAGGGCACGTGGGACAGGAGCTGCAACAATCCCACCTCATCCACCAACATCTTGGGCTAGCCCTGGGGCCATGTGGAACAAGAATGGGAAAAATCTTCCTGGGAGGCCCAGAAGACGATGGTGCAAGGCCCCAACTGACTCCTTCATGGAGTGATGGTGAAACTATCAAGAATTTGCTGGGGGAGTGCTCATTTGCTTCTTATTTGGGGGTTGTCCTGGTCTGAACAACCTGCCCGCAACACCCATTTTTCCCTTCCTCACCGGCTGTGACTTTGTGGGAACAAACCCAGGCTCCAATATCTCCACCTTGACACCAACGGGGACTGGCCCAGCTACACAAGGAGAATAATTGGACTTTGTGTAAATATGGAAAAGGGACTCAAGCCTGAATGGGGATAGATGATTTAGGGAGTCAAGGCGCTACCATTGTACTGTGGAGAGGAAGTGGCCTGTCTGCTCAGGTGACGGGGAAGTGAAAGTTGGAGGGGTAGAGAACGGTTGCGGGACAGAGGCAGGTGGTGGGGGAAGAGATGGAGAGAAACAGGGTGAGGGCGAGAGGGATGGAGGGAACGTTGAGAGGCTGAGGCTGGGCGAGTCCATGTCTTCAGGAAGTTACAAGAGGTGCTTGAGGCTGCACTGACCCCATCCGAGAGCAGGGCCCCTGTTGTGCCAGGCACTGCACAAACCCACAGTGAGACAGCCCCTGCTTCTAGGAACTTGCAGTCTAAATGGGCAAAGACAGGATTATTATCCCTATTTTGCAAACGGGGAAACTGAGGCATGTGGGAGGTGCAGCGACTTGTCAAAGGTGATCTAGAGAGTCTGTGGCAGAGCAAGGAACAGCCTGGGGGTGTCTAGGGACCCAGTCCAGGGCTCTGAACCACAAGACCATCCTTCCCCTAAGTGTATTTTCACAGCCAGATAAAAAGGGAATCTGGGATTTCACCAGGGAGGTTTCGTACCTCCCATCTGCGCTGTGTGGTTGGCTGCTCCCAGTGGCCAGCTAGGGTACTGCACGCCGTCGTGCCATAGTGACCCCACTAGGAGCAGCTATTTTAAGCTCAGGCACCTGCTTAGACTCCGCGTAGTAAGTATGTGAGTCATCCCTTCTAGGGGGCGCTAGCTCAGAGCCAGCCCCGACTTGGCGGGGGGACGACCGGCTGGCTTAGCGGGTGGGGAACGGGACACACGGCCTATCTCTGCTAGGGGGCGCCGGCTCCAGCCCGGCCCTCAGCGTGCAAATTCACCCTCTGTGTTATCTTGCTTAATTAAAGGAAAGTTTCTTTGTAGCCTGTTACCATCGCTGGCCCAGGGAAGCTGTGAAGCCGTCACACCCACGGTAGCGTTCTGGTTGGTTCTGTTGTCGTTAGCCCTTAGACCCACTAGCCCCTGCTGCTGCCCCCTGCTGGAGGAAATGAGCCCTGCTGTGTGATGTGTGTGTCCCCCTGCTGCAGGGGATCAGACCTGCACCGTGTGTGTGTGTGTGTGTGTGTGTGTGTGTGTGTGTCCCTGCCACCCCCTGCTTGGGGGGGGGGAGGGGAGGGAGAAACCTGCTCAGCTTGTGTGCGGCGAGTAACAGATAGCCACAGAGACGCCGGTTACAAATCAGTAATGCTGTGTATTCCTACATGACCTTAAATAGAATAATTACATCCACAAAAAACTACGTGAAAAGACCATTACCAAAGTCCGTTTTGCACAGGCCCCCCTGAATTTGGGCATTTCCTCCCTTGGGCATGCTCAGCTTTGTAACCTTAATAATATTCTTTTAATGTAGCTTTTGTGGGTGATTTCCTGGGTTTTTACAAAAGCAAACTGAAAAAACAAAACCCCACACAGAAATCCCACCACGTGGCATCATATTGACACCCACATGGCTCCTCAGCAGGGCTGGAATCACTGGATCCACCGCACAGAGATCTGCAGAATAATTGGTAGCAGTAGTAGGTTGTCATCCTCTATGTGGTCCTGCACTAGAGGGGAACAAGCGTCGGTTGCACAGCTGTTTGCTCCTGTACCAGTGCCTCGTCTGCACTCAGTCTCCCCACCCCAGCACCTCCTGGCTCCCAGCCCCCTCACCCCACTTTCCATTTCTCTCGCTGGCTTCCAATCCCAGGCTCCTTGTCCAGCCAGATCCAGTGTCCTCTGAGGTCAGACTAAATGATCTATTGCCCACTTCTGGCCTAAAAATCCCCCACCCCAGCAGCTCCCAGCCCCACTGTCTCTTCTTAGCTTCCAGTCTCCTTCCCCAGCCAGTCCCAGGCTCCCCGCCCAGACAGCCCCCGTCTCTTCTTGGTCCCAGCCAGTCCCAGTCCCTTCTCAGCTCCTAGTGCCATACTCTGCCCACCTCCAAGCTGTGCCCCCTCCCCTGCCCTCCCAGGCTCCTCATTCCCCTTGCCTAACTCTCCCCACCCAATTTTCTCCCCTCTTCATTCCAATCAGGCAGCGTCCGTCTCCTGGGCCCGGCAGAGGGGCATTGAGAGCAGAAGTGACCCAAGAGCCCTGCTCCCAGTGCTTGTCCTCAGCATTATCTCGGCCCAGCGCTGCACCTGCAGGGAAAGCCCTGCTGAGCCTCAGGTACGGAGCGAAGCTTCCGAGGCTCTTCGCTGCCAAATTGCCAAGTTCCTGCTCGGACGCAAGGGGGCACTAGGTATGCTGAAAGAGAAGCTCGTCAGAAGTCCACCTGGGCAAACCAGGGGATTTTTCACTAGCCTCGCCCTGCGAAACGGCTGAACGTATTCGTCTCAAGCTTTCCAGAAAAAACAATCCGTCTGAGGCAGACACCTGGCGTGGGAAATTTCAGCCTGAGTTCAGCGAGATTATCAGAAAACAGGGTCTTATAATGGGAGCTGCCAGGCAATCAGTAGGCTGACTAATGGCCCTGCCTATATAAAACTATAGGGAATTCCCCCTACACACACACACAGACGTGCGTGCACACACACACACACACACACACACACACACAAACACCTCCCTCCCTACTCTGCACACACAATCCCCCCTTCAACATCCCCCCCAGGCTCTGGCACACCCTGGGGAAGGATGATCTTCCCGGGGAAGCCAGTTCTGGTCTCTCCGGAAGCTGCGGTTTCCTGCCACTGATCTTGCGTAACAGGAAGCACATACACACATGAGGCTGAGAAAACATCACATCCGGGGCCTGGAGGCTGGGGGGGTGGGCGGCCTTCAAGGAAGAGGGATTAAAGGGGGAGAGGGTGGACTCTCCTTATCTGGCTCCCCCAGCCCCTCACTGAGGGGGATCATGTTATTCCGAGCTCTCCATGTACCCCCATATTAACTCGCCCATCCTGACTCACCCAGCTCTTCAGGGGTGTCATTCCCCTCTGAACCCCATCCACCTCAAACCAGCCCCCCCTTCCATGCCTCCTTCAGGTGGGGTTCATCACCCTCTGAGCCACCCCCCAAAATCTCCCCCCAGCCCTTTGCTTGTCCCATTGTGAAAGACTGAGTCCAGGCATCAAGTCGTGACATGAGTGGATGAATGCAAAGCCAACAGGCTCCTGTGCCGGCTCCCCCAAGTGCTGGAAAGGAAGTACTGCAGTGGGATGGAAGGAGACCAGCCCTCTGTAGGCTGGGCTGTGTCCATTTGTCCAGGGGGGAGCTCTCAGCTGAGCATGGGGGCCTGCAGGCCACAGCGGGACAGGTCGGTGCAGACGTAGTAGGTCCGTAGCTGGCCTTTGCCCTTGACCTTGATAACCCCACGGAGGTAGCAGGTGTAACCCAGGGTCTCCAGGGCCCTGGCTGTCTCCTCTGTGACCTGGGGGGAGGAGAAGTAAAGGAGAGAAGGGAGAAAATTAACCTTGTAATGTCAGCAGCCCTCCTAGCTCCCAGGTTGGGGGGATTCTGGTGCTGCAAGCTTCCCACAGCGATGCCATGGTCCCTGAGTAGGTCCTGACAGGTAGGGCCTAGGTGAGGTTGGGGACCACACTTCCACCCTGCTCCCCCCACTTCCTTCCCTCCAGTGTGAGCTGTGAGCTTCCCCACTGCATGCCCAGCAAGGGACCCAAGTGCTGTGAGATACCCCACAACAGCGCCCCCACGACAGTGCTGCCAGCTCCACATAGCAGGAAGTCACCAGGCTACCCCTGAAAAGTCGCTAGATGTAGCTGTTTAAGCACTCAAAAGGAGTCAAGAATGTCACCGAACAAAATTTCCAGAGAATTCAAGAGAGAACTATACACACACACACACACACACACACACAAATTACACACACACACACACGAATTACACACACACACACACATGAATTACATGCACAGACGAATTACACACACACACAAATTACACACACACACAGGCGAATATAGTCACAAAATCATTCACAAGCAGCTCCATAGTGTTAATCAAATCCATTCCGTGCTCTTCTGACTCTGTTCGGCTGCCCACCAGCAGCCCTACACGTACACCAGTACATTCTCATCACCAGGCGGGTGCCCTCTGCTCACTGGGAAGGGCGCTCTGTACAGGGCAGCCCAGGTCGGCTGGGGTTGGTTCATTTCAGCTGAGCCTTGTCTTGCCAGCCTGGATCTGAGCCGACAGGTGAGTGAAAGGCAGAGCCCAGAGCCAAGGGGAAGAGGACATTCGCCTGACCTGACCGGACCTCAGCGCTGCAGGGATCCAAGAAAGTAGCTTTAAAAACAAAAGTCCCCTCCCCCCGCTGCCAGGGTTCCAGTTCTGAAACTGCCTGGGCAGCTAACCCCAGGCCACGCTAGGGGAAGGAGTAAAGAGGAACCAAAATTAAGCTAGTTCCACTTTTGATCCTGTAGTAAGGGCTTCATCCCTGAAGGCAACGGTGCTCCCTCGCCCCATTGGGGCACATGGCCCCATCCCATCCCACCCCATCTTCCATCCGTGCAGCTCTCCTCACTGGCTAACCTGCCTCCCCCACCCTGCTCACTTCATCAGCCGGCTTTCTCTGCGCCCCAGGGTGCGCTACCTACGATGGAGCAGCGAGAAAGAACACGTTGGGTACAAGCAGGGCCTGGCTAATGTGCTGCTCTCACCAAAGTGCACCTGGCTTTAGCCAAGGATTTAATTAGCCTCCACAACCTTTCTTTTCCTCGCCGGCAGATTATAATGATCTCAGCCCAAGGAGCCCTGGAATATGATTCCTTCCGAGGACGTGCTCAGTTGAGACATGATGACATTGACGTGGTGTGCAACAGAATGTAGTAAGAAGAGCACGGAATGGATTTTATTAACACTACTGAGCTGCTTGTGAATGATTTTGTGACTATACACATTGGTGACATCTTTCTCTGAATGCCACTGCAATTGGCAGTGAAAGTCACTAGATTTGTCACTGGTCACTTGGACACTTATTTTCTCGCTAGGGAAACCAAAAAGTCACTAAATCTGGTGACAAAGTCGCTAAGTTGGCAACACAGCGTCATTCCTCATACCTGGATCTTCCCCAACACCCCAGTGCTCTCCATGCGACTCGCCACATTCACCGTGTTTCCCCAAATGTCATATTGGGGTTTCTGGGCTCCGATCACACCAGCCACCACGGGGCCATGGTTTATACCTGGAAAGGAGGTGGGAAAGAGACAAATGTAGGAGGATGGGGGACACAGCTAGTAAGATTTCTGCAGGGTGAGACCATGTGAACATTTCATGAGAGCCTCAAAAATTACCTGGCATGACATGGTCTGTTGGAACAGCCCTGAAATCCCAGCACTGAACATCAACATCCCAGCTCGGCACCCCCAGAATTCCAGCACCCAGTGTTGAAATCCTGACACCCAAATACCAAACACATTCCCCCAAATCCCTACATTGCTCCTCCCCAATCCTAATCACATATCCCCAAATCAGTCATCTGAGCAGGGTCAACACTGCTCACTGCGCATGTGGTCAAGCGGGTGGGGTCATCACTGGAAATTGGGGAAGCACGGCCAGTCGGGTGAGGTCAACCTTGGCCATAGTTGGTGTGCCCAATCTGCAAGGCCAATGTTGGCCATTGGCCATGGCCAACCAGCAGGCCCTGCATTGGCTGTCAGCCATGGTCAACCAGCAGTGTCAACAATGCTGGCCACATCCAATGGACAGCAAAGGTTGCAAAGCCTGGGGGTGATTGTTCCTGCATCTAGGTTGGAGGGAACTCACCCACACGGAGTTTGAAGGTGTTGAAGGAGTGTTTGTTGATGATATCCAGCTTGGCTATCAGGGCCACCGCGAACTCCACCATGATGCCCAGGTGAGTGTAGCTCCTCTCGGCATCCTGAAGGGTAAACCCCACCACCGCCACAATGGGAGAGGAGGAAAATCCACCAATCACAACCAGGGAACCAATGTCTAATCCCACCCACAACCAATGAGAAAGCAGTCAACCCACCATCAGGGCATATGTCCAGGAGATGAGCAAGGGTCTGAGAGAGATGGGACACAGGGTAAGCTCAGGAGCTGTCACCCAGCCCCAAGGGGTTCTGGGAAACTGGGGAACACTTGGCTGGAGCTCCAGCAAGCAGAGAGAAAGGAGGTACCTGCTGGTTGTCCTGGCCAGAAGTGGCATTTAATCCCGTAGCTGCCATGTAGGTGCTGCCAATGGTCTTGATCTTCTCCACACCACTGAATTTTGGCTTCGAGAGCAGCTGCAGGATTAGAAATAACCAAGTCATTGGTCCATTCAGCCCCATCTCACTCCCCCTACTTGCCCTGGATTGGATCCTCAGCCCAACCAGCTCTATCGAGACAGCACCCCTCTGCCCCAGATCGGCCCCATGACCCATTAACAATGTGCTGAGATGCTGCCCACTTTCCAGTGCCCCGATCTCATCTGAACCCCCTCAGACCTCATCAAAATCCGCAATGATCTCATTGAGCAGCCGCAGACACTCCAGCCCTTCGTGGTTGACGTTGGACTCGGAATAGAACTCCTTGAAGTCGGGGATGGAGGCGAAGAGGACACAGACACAGTCATAGGATTGATGGTAAAGGTCCTGGATGGGAGGGTGGGTGGGAGAGAGAGACAGCGCGTCACTTTCTGATAACTTCACACAGAGTGTGGACATGGCAGATAGATGCAAATCAAACCACAGCCAAAACCCACCTACCGCAGCCAACCCTACCACCAACCAAACCCAACCACCCCCAACCAACACCAAACCTGTCCAACCATCACAATCAATACAGACACCTGAGCCAGCCAGATCCCACCACAATCAGTCAACTCCAAACAGCACAGCCATCAGCACAGCCATACAAACCCAACCACTCCCAAACAATAAAGCCTACCAAACCACATTCCCACAGTCCGGTATAGACCCCACCTCCAACCAACAGAGCTATCCAAACCCAACCAACGTATTGATCAGCACAGCCAATCAAAGCCAAATATCCCCAACTAACACAGCCATCACACACTTACCCAACCACCCCAGTCAACACAACCCACCACAGTCAGCCAACTCCAGCAACACACCCCTCACCACAGCCAGCCAAACCCAAACACCCCCAACCAACACAGGCATAACCGTAGCCAACCAAACCCAAACATTTTCAACCAACATAGCAGTCATGAAACCCATCCAACTAACCCAAACACAGCCCACCTCAGTCAGCCAGCAGAGCCCACTCCAGCGAACCAGCTCCAGCGAACACACCTACCATCACAACCAATCAAACCCAAACCCCGCCAACTAACACAGTGCACTGAAGCCAACCAACACAGTCAGTGAAATCCAACCAGCCCCCAACCAACACTACCTCCCAAACCCAGACAACCCACCCATCACTAAATCCAACCACCAACCAACCAGCCCCAGCTACACAACAACCCAAAGCAAAACCCCATCAGACCACCATGATTTATCGCAACCACCACATCCTCCTGAACCCATCCATCACCTCGCACGAAACAAAACCCAACACAATCAATATTACAATCCACCGAACCCAATCACTTCCCCATGCCACAACATCACACCAAAAAGATTCCACTACCACCATCACACACAGACCCCACAAGAGCAATTCAACAGCAGCTGTTGAGATGCTCAAACCAGCCAGTGTGATTCGGTAGCTCAAACTCATTCAAGTTAGACCAGATGCAGAGAAGGGCTGCAAGGATGATCGGGGGAATGGAGAGCCAGTCTGACAAGAGGAAAAAGAGCTGGGCTTATTTAGCTTGAAACCACAGGCTGACTGCTCTCTGTAAATACATCGGGGGAAACACCAGGGAGGGGGAAGAACTCACGAAACTAGAGGACAATGCTGGCACGAGAACAAATGGGATAAACTAACCAGGGAGCAACTGAGGCTGGAGAAGATAAGAAGGTTTCTGACCATCAGACAAAGGAGGTTCTGGAACACCCTCTAATAGGAGTGGTGGCGGTGGGAAAACCCTATAGTAGAGTGAGGATGGTGCTCGATAGGGAAGACAGGGCTATCTGAGGTAACAGGACCCACATTTGGTGACCCAGGAGGCCTTTTCCAGTCCTACGGTCCTAAATCCCAATGATTTCAATGGGAACTGAGTGTCCATATGTTGGCAATCTTAGTAAACTTATATGGACACACGCCATGTCAGGATCTCAGGAATGAGACCCAGGCATCCAGGAGAGTTCTCCTAGGGGCCCTGCTGTTCTCAGCACCACAGGTGAGGGAGTAGCATGGGGAATTGGACCCATGATCTGCGGGACAACATCCCCATGGGTCCCGCAGCTCTCAGTCCCACAGGGGGAGTGGGAAGGAGAATGGGACCCAGACATCCACAGTGACATCTCCATGGGTCCCGCAGCTCTCAGCCCCACAGGGGGAGTGGGATGGAGAATGGAACCCAGACATCCACACTGACATCCCTATGGGACCCGCAGCTCTCAGCCCCAGCGAGACGGGACCAGGATGGGGAATGCAGAGGTCACCGATTCTTTTCCCCCTCAATGCATAATTGGCCAGATGCATTCCATGGTATTTTTTCACCTTCCTCTGAAGTATCAGGGATTGGCCATGTGACGAACTGAGACTGTTCTTAAAGTGGTCTGTGAATGCTGATAGGGGAGTGTGGCTAGGATGGTCTGCATTGGGGGATGGGAGAATGACTGAAGGAGAATACCTGAGCATGTAACATGAGAACCCAGGAAGGGGGGGAGG